TTTGCATTAAAAATGACATAACTGAGCGAATGACACTTAATGACAGTTGTCATAAACATGCATAAAACCTCCTTCATATTCATGATATGTGTCATGTCATGATTATGAAGGTGTCATGTCAGTCTTATGCACACCCCTTCAAGTAAAGTGTTACCTTTACATTTTTAAAGAAGTAAAGATACAATATATGAGCAATTAAGAACGGCAATATTACCTCTGAATTTACTATGACTTCTGATGAATGATTTTTGAAAGATTGATGTTGGATTGTAAAACGAACCTTCTGTTGAGACGAGAGATTTGGCACTTTGTAAAGGGACAGTTTGCTTCAGCTGCTGGTCCAGAATGCTGTAGATATGAATAGTCTGATTTTGTAGCACTAGCACATATGGGAAATGAACTGCAGCGTCCACCACTCCATCAGGCCACTGTACTGGAGGATGCTGGGAAGTGCCATTCTTCATCACAAACATGCCTGCGTGTCATATAGAATACTTTTACTTGTTACTTTATAAAGCAAATAAATAATTTGCACTAATTATTGTTGAACTGTAAATGTATATATTATATTTATTTATCTATTTGCTTACTTTATAGACAGGCGTTAAAGGAGTAGTTCACTTCCACAACAAAAATGTACAGATAATGTACTCACCCCCTTGTCATCCAAGATGTTCATGTCTTTCTTTCTTCAGTCGTAAAGAAATTGTTTTTTGAGCAAAACATTTCAGGATTTCTCTCCATATAATGGACTTCTATGGTGCCCCTGAGTTTGAACTTCCAAAATGCAGTTTAAATGCAGCTTCAAAGGGCTCTAAACGATCCCAGCCGAGGAAGAAGGGTCTTATCTAGCGAAACGATCGGTTATTTTCTAAAAAAAAATTACAATTTATATGCTTTTTAACCTCAAACGCTCCTCTTGTCTAGCTCTGCGTTTTTCCGGTTCATGACAGTTAGGGTAGGTCTAAAAACTCCCATCTCATTTTCTCCTCCAACTTCAAAATCGTCCTAAATCATCCAACATCGCTGTTTTGCCATTTGTTTGTAAAGGGCATTTGATCTTCTTTGCATGTTCACTTTGTTTTTGAAGTTGGAGGAGAAAATGAGATGGGAGTTTTTAGACCTACCCTAACTGTCTTGGACCAGGAAAAAAAACAGAGTTCACGCAGAGCTAGACGAGAAGAGCGTCTGAGGTTAAAAAGTATATAAATTGTAAATTTTTTTAGAAAATAGCCGATCGTTTTGCTAGATAAGACCCTTCTTCCTCGGCTGGGATCGTTTAGAGCCCTTTGAAGCTGCATTTAAACTGCATTTTGGAAGTTCAAACTAGTCGGGTGCACCATAGAAGTCCATTATATGGAGAGAAATCCTGAAATGTTTTCCTCAAAAAACACAATTTCTTTACGACTGAAGAAAGAAAGACATGAACATCTTGGATGACAAGGGGGTGAGTACATTATCTGTACATTTTTGTTGTGGAAGTGAACTGCTCCTTTAATGGAGTTTTCAGTTGTGTCAATTAAATGTGAGTTATTTATCCTAAAATTCCCAAAATTAAATAATTGAAAAAAGGGGAATTAAAAATAAATAAAAATGGAATTCAATTAGGCAATTATTTAAATACAGCTACAAACTGATGAACAAAAATATATCAAAAGTATACTAAAGGTAAATTAACTTGCATAATACTGTAGCTTAGGTTATCTGGTCTTGGACAAATGTAATCATGTTAATAAATCTCTTCTGTTTAAATCTCTTCTGAAACTTTTGAGGAGACACATATGAAATTAGAGAAATATCAACAAAAGGCTCCATTTTTTCTTTCCTTATGGGGACTTAATATATAATTAATTATTGTGAGTACATGAAATACAATGTAATGTCATTTTAAGCATGCAGATAAAGGCCTTAAATCACTTGAACCCTGGTATTTCTTTTTCTATTGCACTGGCATATTTTTCACACTGTTTTTACCTTGTTTTGCCACTTAAAGTTTAAAATGTATTTTATAATTGTAATTTTATTTGTCTTTTATTTATCCTATTATAATTTTATTTTTATTTTATAATTATAAAAATTCTTACCCAAACATCCAGGCCCATTCAAAATGAATTCTCCTTTTCCACATTTGTTGGCAATGATATTTTGCTTTCCCAGGTTATGTGGGAAAAGATCGAGGGTGGTTTGGCTCTGATAGTCATGGAGAAAATATCTGTCACAAGCGGCCACACACAGACACGTCCCATGCACAGCCAGAACCACAGGTTCCTGCGGCAGAGCCACCTGTCTCACACACTCCCATCTGTCCACACACACCTTATAAACGCTCACTGTTTTCCTCTTGGTCGAAGCTGCAATGAGCTCAACGGAATCAGTCTGAACCGCTGACTCACTGACATTAAAGAGTGACACGTTCTGTATTTTCTTCAGGGCAGGAAGGAGTTCCAGGGAGAACATGTTAAGCACCGTGACCGAACCGTCCCAGAGAACTAAGAGATGATTCAGAACAGGGACCGCCGTCAGCTGGCCGATTGCTCCGCTTCGGCCCATCTGTCTCTTCCCCACCTCCCGCACTGAAAGGCTTTCTTCAGCGCTCGTGTTATTTACAGTGAGGTACTCAACGACTCCCTCTTTGGTCCCTATATAGAGGTTTTTACCAAAGCACTCCAAACATTGAATGCTGAATTTGTCTCTGCCTTTCCCAGAGGGCATTTTTTGAAAGACTAGCACAGGGGTGAAGACTTTCATGGTTATTTACTATTAATTTAGGTCTCAGTTGCAAAAATACACCTAAAAATAAATGAGAAACCTAGTACATTGGGCAGAGAAGGAAAACAGCCTTCATTAGCTCAGATATCTAAATGCAGTAAAGCTAAATAAAACGCGTAAAGAACGGTCTCACCTCATTAGCGTAGAAGCTGTCAGCGTTATGGACGTTTGTTTTTTACTCAAGTGTATTTTGACCTTGCCATGTGACTCTCATCCTGAGAGGAAGTTGGTGTCAGCAGTTTTACTGCTTTTACTCTGGCTCTGAATGGATGGTTGGTTGCACAATGCCAAATGTCTAAGAAAGGCTAGAGACATAAAACCTTTAGTTAAATATTTATTTTATGTGTTTTAAAGTGTATAAAAGGAAGCTAAAACAGCATGCTTGCTTCAGCAAATGCATTTTGATCTCACATGTACTTTTGCTCATGCTATCAGTTGGGATTAGGGTAGGGTTTAGTTTAGGAGTATGTTCATTTAAAATGCAATAGAGCATTAAAGGAATAGATTACTCAAAAATGAAACTTTGCTGAAAATTTACTCGCCCTCAGACCATCCAAGATGTAGATGAGTTTGCTTCTTCATCGGAACAGATTTGGAAAAATGTAGCATTACATCACTTGCTCGGCAATGGATCCTTTGCAGTGAATGGGTGCCGTCAGAACAAGAGTCCAAACAGCTGATAAAAACATCACAATAATCCACAAGTAATCCACATGACTTCAGTCCATCTGTTAATGTTTTATAAAGTCAAATGCTGTGTGTTTGTAGTAAACAAATTCATCATTAAGGAGTCGTGTGGATTACTTGTGGATTATTGTGATGTTTTTATCACAATATTTAGATTCTCATTCTGATGGCACCCATGTTTGTTTATTTTCAGATTCATCTTGCTTTAACAACTGATTTTTTTTTTTCACACAAAACCACTACGTAGAACCACCATTTTGGCCACAAGAACGAACCTTTGTTAAAAGAAGCATTTTTCTTAGAGTGAAAAACATTTTTTATAATCTAAAGAACCATTTTCCACTACAAAGAACCTTTTGTACATAGGGAAGTTTCATGAATGTTAAAGTTTTCTCTATATTTAAGTGTGCACACTACATTTGAAGCTACCGTCATTTTGAGTGTTTCCACATGACGATACAGCGGTCAGGTCGTACAAGTCAGAGCTTTTTAGAAAATGTCAGAGTTTACAAGTTGTAATTACAAATTCTATGAGGACGTGAACGCTTTTTACAAGTCAGAATCATGTAATAACAGTAATTCTGACTTGGCGTGAACGTACCTCTACTCACTTTATTTTGCCAGCGAAACAGAAAATTACTCAGTGCACCTTTAAAAAATGAAATCAAAATGGGAATTTAGTGGCCTTTAGATCATGTTTGTTTTTGACTGTTTATGCTAGTTAAGTCACAACAAATTAGCAGTTTTCATGCATATAAAATATTTCTCTCCAGGGAAAATGAACCAAAATATGAATCACTCATCTTGCTCCCAGAGTCATTTAAGTCATTTATAATCCTTCCCAACTTTCACCTTCTTTATGGTGTCCCTTAATGTATGCATTGTAGTTGTCCCTAGTGTATTTGAAATGCATTTATTCATTCTAAGTATACTACAGATATGATATATTTATGTACTTTTAAAAAAAATACCCTGCAAATGCACTTTTAGTATACTAAACTGGTATACTTTAAGTCTCCTAAATTGAAACAACTATTTTTGTGCTTAATGCACTTTAATTGTGTGGAAGTAGTGCTGTAGTCCAACTAAAGAAGTATATTTGAATGTGCTAAAGTGGAACTATTGCAAGTATACTTCAGGTATACTTTAAATAACTTGCATTTAAAGACTGATGTTTTTTAAAGATCATACAATCCTCATCAGTAGTGACATTAAAACACATTTAGGCTTAATATAAAGAAATGTGCATTGTGCACAAGTAGTACTTTAAATAAAATTTAATTGTAATTTTTATATAAGTCTCGAGCAATATGTCAGAAATTGTTAATAGATTTGAACTGTACTTAGTATGAAATAAATGTATTTTAAATATATTACTTTCTTACTAGAGGTAGGGGTTGTGCATGATTATGTATCTTTAGACTTAAAAAAAAAACAGGCAGTAGACAAGAAGAAAACAAAGTTTATTGACCAAAAGTGCATTTCGTGTGACAAACTTCTAACATTTTCAATATTATTCCATGCTGGTTCAGGCTTTATAAAGACAATTGTTTCCAAATCATTGTTGAAAGCTTATTAATCAATACATTAAGCATCCTAATCAGCGGGCTACACAGATAATTAATCTATTCATTGTTCGTGTTTATTCATCATTCCATTTATATGAGCGGAAACCCAATTCTACATCTATTTTGCCCTCAGTAGCTTTCCTACTATACTTGGACGACTGTGCTGCTCCTGTGGTTGTCTGACCCAGTCGGGTGAGCTCACTTCTCCCTGCCACAGTCAGTGCACAGGATGTCATCTCTCTGGGTGAGGAAGCCACGGCCCACCAGAGACACAGAGCACTGCATACACGTGAAACACTCACTATGCCACTGCCGCTCTTCAAACGAGATGTACTTAGCACCTGCCAAGCCTGGACACACACACACACACACACACACACATGGTTGTTTTACAGTCGAGTACAATTCTGATGAAATTTTTAATTTCAATTTAGAGGCGTATAAAAATAGCCGCCAGATGTCAAGAATGAAAACATACTAGTAATTGGTTTGGTGCAGCCCACGCATTTCTTGGCGTACAGATTGCTGAAGCAATCCAGGCAGTATGGGTAGTTTTCTCTCGAGGTAAAGCGCTGGCCTGCCAGTTGTCTCTTGCATCCAATGCAAGTGAAACACTCTCGGTGCCAGGGCTTATCCTGATACGTGACACCACCAGTTGTTATGGCCTACAGAATTGAAAGTGTGGATCTCAGTACAGTATAATAAATGTGCAATATTGTCCAACAATTATTTAGTTCACCCAAAAGTGAAAATTCCAATCCAATCCTTGAAAAAACGTAAATATGTCACGTAGTGGCAAATTCATATGAATTTGTATGACGTGATTTGTATGTAAACAAAAACTTTTTTTTAACTATAAATAAACTGAAAGTGCATGAATGAGAATTGAATTGATAGGATTCACCAATTTGCCAAAACAGTTTTCCATGCAATTGTAATAAATGGGGAATGAAGCTTTCAAGGTTAAAAAAAGAATGCAAAAGCACTATAAAGTATGATAGTAGTAGTAGTCCATAGATTCATATGCTATATTCCGTGTCTTTGATGGCAAATGATAGCTTTGTTGAGGATTTTAATATGGTTATGGTGATTTTATATGCTCTTTGAATCTTGAAAGCTCCAACTCCATAAATACATATTTATTTTCTCTCACAAATTTTCTCTTTTCGTATTCCACATTTAAAAATAAAGTCATACTGGTTTGGAACAACATGAGGGTGAGTAACTTTTGAGTGAGCTATAACTTTAATGGACTGTAATAGTTTTTCATACTGAGGCTCAGTCTTTTCATACTGTCTGATTCCTTCGCAAATATATATGACTTACTTTTTACAAGCACAACATTAGGAGGCAATTTGCTTCCCAAAACCTAACTGCAACTCGTCTATAAGTCTACAAATGACTGTGTATGAATTCATACAAATTAGCCACCAGTTCACCAAAACATAAAATAGTTGCGAGTTGACATGAGTTAGCACTGAAATTCTGTCGTTGTTTACTCATCCTAATGTCATTCCAAACCTGAATGTACTGCTTGTTCTTTTCCATGCAATTGTGCATTTAATGGAGGGCGAAGCGTTCAAGGTTCAAAAAAGACCTTCACAACCTTTCTCTTTGTGTAATCCACATTAGAAAAACACATTCTGATTTAGAGCAATAAGAGAGTGAGTCATTTTTGGGTGAACTGTAACTTGAATAACAGTAATTCTGTTTTTCAAATGTCTGATTCCTTCATAAACACACAGTAAATGACTTACTTTTTTACAAGCACAGCATTGGTAGGCGAATTGCTTCTCAAAACAAGGCACACAGAAGTAATTGTTATCTTTAGGGATGAAAGACTTGGTTCCTATTGGCTGCTGACAGCGTTGACACAGAAAGCACGTCTCATGCCAGCTGTTGCCTTTGTACTCCATTTTTCGTGATCCTAACACATGAACAGAAGACAACTTTTATAGACTAAGATCCTTAATATTTTATTTTAACTTGATAAACCACCTATTTTTAATACAAAGAAAAACATGCTAGTAAGATATTTTTAGGAAAATAAATCTAGTTACATCTAATTTCTTCAGAAAAGATTCAAATACAAAGAGTTCTACCTGGCATGATAGTCTTCTTGCAGGTGTTACACTTTGAGGAATACTCATGAGAATAGCACTCGGTGCAAAGCATAAGGTCATCTTTAGCAGCAAACGCTTTGTCCACCAATGATCGACTGCATTTGGCACAATTGAAGCAATTTTCATGCCAGTGCCGGTCCTTGTAGGAGAGATCCTTCATTATGCATGCAGAGAAAGTCTAGTTAAAAGCTTGCAAATCTGTTCTGACTTTCTGTCACTCATTATTCTTTAATTAAGGGATCCTTTTCACATTTCCAGGGTTCTTAAAAGCAAAAGTAGTCATAGTTGGCTGTTTAAAAATATTTTTAATTCAATTCCAATTTAATTTTCAAATATAAATGTGTGTATTATGATGTCAGTAATTGCTTATGCCTGCCTTAGAGTTGCACCCAACTGGCAAAGAACATACTTCACAGCAGTTAGCAAACAGATTCTCATAGCACTTTGTGCAGTATTGTGTGTCCTCTTTTAGGATGTATTTCTTTCCCAGCAAAGTGTCCTTGCAGTAATGGCAGTCGAATCGTTCTGTAGACATTGTTGTTTATGTCTTAAAAGCAGTAAACAGAATCGTAAAAATGTTACAACATATCAGGCTAAAGCAATCAGTGAGGTGTCATCCACAAAATACAAACGCCTCTTAAAATAGACACAACATGCTAAAATTATGGTCTCTGCAAA